ATCTTATCATATGTCAGTCCCTTTCTCTTTTCTCTAGCCCCTTGGATCCTAGACTCTTTCTTGCATGCATGCCGTCCTTCCTGCAGGCTGACCAGGCTTGGGAGGTGGCAAATCCTGAGCAGTGCATTACCATTGCACCACAGAATGGACCCAGATGGTTTTTGTTTGCTTGTTTTTTAAAGAATTGTTTGTTTATTTAATTACTTTTTTTTTTGAGAGAGAGAGAGAGAAAGGAAAAGAGAGAAAGCAAGCCGCCAGGTCCGAGACTCAAACTATAGTTGGCTGTGTGGAAATCTAGCACCCTTAGCCACCACGCCACCTGCCGCCCCCCAGATGGTTATTTTTCTAATTTTTCTTTTAACCCTTATTAAAAATTTTTTCTGAAATGTTTTTCTCTTCTCCTTAACTGAGTTAAAATTATTCATATATTGGCCTATTAAAGATCTTTTAGGGGGCCAGCTGATGGCATGGTGGTTAAAAAAAGCACTGGACTCTCGCATGGTAGACCACCATGGTTTCAGTCCCAGACCTGGCAGCTTGCTTTCTCACTTTCTTTATCTGGTGAGCTCATGTGCCCTATTGCAAATTTTAAAATAATAATAAAATTAAATCTTTATAAGAAAAAAGATCTTTTGGTACTTAAGAGCTATTCTGTATCTCTTTCATTGTTTAGTAAATAAAAGTGTATTGATAGTAAATGGGGCTTAATATAGATTTCAGGATATGTTTTAGATTTTTAGGCTTTTAGTGAACCCTACTTTAAAGGTATTGCTTTCTTTTTCTTTTAAGAATTACTTTAATTTCATTTATTTATTTATTTATTTAAAATAAATATTTATTTATTTTGTCCCCCAAAGAGGGCCAGTGAGAGAGGGAAAGTAAAAAAGCAAGCCACCATGTCTGGTACTCAAACCACAGTCGGCCATATGGGTCCCCTTTCGCAGGTGTCCGCCCCTGGCTTCTCTGCTGGGCACATTAATGAGATAATAATAACAATAGATGCTACTCTCTCTTTTTTTTTTTTTTTTTTAGAGGTTTTTTTCCTATACTGTGTGTGTACTCGCCAGAAAGACAGAGACAGAGAGATAGAAAGCAAGAAGTCACCCCCCAGGGGGGGTGGCCATGCTGCAATCCCTTCTCCATTCTTCTCTTGGGATCTTGGGCACACACGCACATGAGCCCAGTGTGAGTTTAAGCCACCAGGTCCAGGACTCAAACCGTAGTTGACTATGTGGGATTCCTGCGACATAGCCATTATGCCAACTGCTGGTCCCAAAGGAGTTTAGAGAACTGAGATGTGTTGTATGCAAAATCTATTTAGTGAGAGAAAGATTTATTTCAAAGATTTATTACAAGGCTATGTGAATAGCCTTAATACCAGAATGTATAATAAATTTAAAAAATTTTTAAAAATCAAAGCTCAGGAGAGGATTTCAGGGAGGATTTCTGAATTGAGGACATTTAAGTTGGATTCTATAATAAATTAGTAAGTTGTGGTGAATAGATGAAAATAATCTTGACCCTCTGGTAAGTTCTAAAGTTAAAATTACTGTCCTTGAAAGAAGTGGACATTGTAAGTAACATTGTGAGATGAAAGAGTTCCATGCAATTTCAGAACTACCTGTAAAATATTATCTTTCTGGCCCTGAATTAGTGAGTGTGCATATTTGTCTTTTGAAATCACATAGTTGGGTGCTAGATTTTAGTGCAATTTTATGGAAGCCACTACATACCAAACAAATAGTGTAGATTTTCATTGCAAATACCTTGCTCTTATGCTTGGAGGGGGGGCCAGATGGTGGCACAGCGATAAAATGTGACACTCTGTGAGGCCAGCCCATATAGAAAGGTTCTGGATTCAGGTCCAGAGACAACCTCAAGCATTGCCAGTACATGCCTGCCCATGATCTGGATAAATCATTGTGTCAAGACCCTGCTGTGGGCTCTGTCTGTCTGAGTGACTGTCTCTGTTTCTCTGGTTCATGGAAGAAAATAAATGAACGTGTGTGTGTGTGTGTGTGTGTGTGTGTGTGTGTGTGTATGTATGTATGTATGCTTAAAGAGTATTTTTGTAAAAGTAAAAAATATTTTCAGTGTTTTATTTTAAATGTAATGGTAAATGATAGACCCTATAAAGCCAAAGAAAGTAAAAGAAAAAGGTCATTTTTAAAAAATGACTTGTTCTTACATATCTAAATATTCGCTAACGTTTTGTCAGAGACTGAAATTGAGGAAGAGAGAGATTTGGCGTTCTAGTGGTTTATGGAGAGAGTTGATCAGAGATTTCTCCCTGGCTGGGTTGCTGTCTGCATAGGCTGCTAACAATTGTTTCTCTGGCAGCAGATCTTGTTCATCAGGATTGCATCATTTCTGGGAGGATGGCCAAGGTCCACAGCCTCAGTACAAAGACTGTCTGAAGCATATGAGGCCTGTTCTCTTTCTGAAGCGGCACTCCTCTTCCTGCCAGTCCTCTTCACAGGATTACTGAAGCAGACTTGTCTGAATTTCTTTCACTGGATTGGCTGTTTATTGGGCTCTTGTCTCCCAGCTGCTTCCGGCTCACCTGTCTGATGCAATTTTGTCTTCTGAAATCCCTGCTGGAATTATTCTTAAAACGCCTTTTATCTGTCTTCTCTGAGAGTTTCCAGATAGATCGTATGGGTGTTGTGCTTTCAGCAAGTCCTATAGAGAGACACTGTCAGAATGACAATACAGACTGTTGACCATTTCTGAACCAACTGAAAATATGGGGATAATTTTGAACGATTTTTTGGCATGTTCTATTTAACATCCTCTTCCCTAGAAATTGTATGTAAATGATGACTCCTTAAAGGGGGGGGGGACTTGAGCAGTAGGAGGTGTAGTGGTTAAGGCACTGGATTCTCACAGGTTCCACCATGGTTCGACTTGTGTACCTGGCAGTTTGAAACTCACCTGGTGCTTGTGCATGCATGCCAAAATCCTGAGAAGAGAGTAGAGAAGGGATTCCATTGTGGCCATTCCCCCCAGTGTTGATTTCCTGTTTTCTGTGTCTCTGTCTCGCCAGTGAGTGCCTCATGGCAAAAATCTCTAAAAATATCTATATAAAGAATGCAAGTAGTACAGGAAGACAAGCAGGTTCTGAGTTCGAGAATTAGTACTGGTATTCCTGTGGATTCTGATAGATCATCAGACTTAAAAAATTAAACTTCTGATGCTTTCATTTTTACCATGCTATATATACTTACATATTTATTTCTCTTTCTCCTCCTGTCCTTTCTTTCTTACTTAACTGTCGGTAAATCACTCTACTTCTTGGTTTACTCTATTTTTTTTCTTCCTTCCTTTCACTATTACATATCTTCATTTTTATAATACTTCTGAGTATGCTCTATTAAAATTGTTTCTAAATAATGTTTTATTTTCCACTCTTTCAACAGTTAGAAATCCATAATTTAAAACAATATAAATAAAGTGTGTGTGTCATCTAATGCTAAGTACCTGAATCCCATGAACAGTGATTTCAGGTGTTAACTCATTCTGGCTAATGTTAAATTAGACATTTTTAAAGAAAGCACTGGAAACTTAAGGGGTACTGATTATTTTCTCTCAAAAGTCCTGGGTTACCTATTCTTTTCATTTTAGAAAGTAGAAAGTTAATTCTAGCTCTTTTTCTAGTATGTTTCTATTGTGGAGTTGATTTTTGGTCACTCTTTCTTTTTGGGGAGTTTTTGTCATTGGGCATGTGTGTTCTTGGGAAAGAGACAGAAAGAAAAATGAGAAATCACCCCCACTGAGGGGTGGCCACACCTCAATCCCTTCTTCATTCTCCCCTCAGGATTTTGGGAACACATGCACACGCAAACTGCCAGGCCCAGAACTTGTATTGTGGTCTGCCATGTGGGAATCCAGCACCTTAACCACCATGCCACCTGCTGACCCCCTTGTCACTGTTTTCTGTAAGACAGGAGAATAGATGGTTGGAATGAGGGAGAAGACAGGAATAATATGGTTATAATCTAATAGATAATAGTAGGTAGGCCCTCATCTGGCTGGAGAGTAAGTTTGACATTTGATTAAAGAAAAGCATGTAGGGGCCAGCAGGTGGCATGCTGACTGGATTCCCACATGACCAACCATGGTTTGAATCCTGAACCTGGTAGCTTGCTTTCTCTCCCTTTTTCTTTCTTTCTCTCTCTCTCTCTCTCTCTCTCTCTGTCTCTGCTGAGCACATGTGCCCTATAGCATTTTAAAAATAATGATGATGAAAAGCCTCTGAATTTGGAAAGAGTTCAGTGAGGAGGTACAATAACTCCTAAGACAGAAAACGAGGTATTCTTTGGGAAAGGAAGAAGATTCCAATTTGAAGAAAATGATTAGTCAAAGTTTTTTTAAAGAATTATTTTATTTAACTTTATTTTTATTTGACCAGTGAGGGATAGAGCGAGACAGAGAAGGCAAGAAAACAAGCCACCATGTCCAGAACTCAAACCACGGTCGGCAATGTGGGAATCCAGCGCCCTTAACCACCACACCACCTGCTGGCCCCGAACTACAGTTAATTTTCTACCCTACCCTTTATTTTCTTTCTGGCTTTACAGGAAAATAGGATATAAAGGTTAAAGGACAAAACTGGATAGGACATAGGGTGATAAACAAGGCATATTACAGAAATAAGAAATAAGACAATTTTTCTTTTTATAAAGATTATTGCTGCAAGACACAGAGAGACAAAAAGAGGAAAAGTGAGAAATCACCCCCCAGGGGAATGGCTACACTGTAATGGCTTCTCTTCCATTCCCCTCAGAACTTTTAGAGCACACACATGGACCTGGTTTGTTTTTCAAGCTCCCTGTCCAAGTCTGAAACCGTGGAGTTGGCCATGTGGAATTCAGTGCCTTAACAACTATGCCACCTGTTGACCCCAACTGAATTATTGTTAATATATCTGCAGAATGTCATTCTTTGTGTCTATCGATGTTACTTCTTTCTATACTAATTTATGTCTCAACTTTTTCTAGGTCTTCAGAGCTACTGGCAGATAATTTGGGGGGACTTCATATTCAGAGGTCTATATAAAGGTGAACGACCAAATAAATTCTTTTAATTTCTGTTATATATTTTGCACTTTAATTACTGCTGAACTCATATTGCAGTTAATGGTGATCATATTTCACCTGGCAAATTTCTGTTGAACCTTCTCTGTGTCAAGCATGGTTCTGAACAGTTAGAATTATAGCAGTGTACAGAACAGACAAAAATCTCTGTCCTCAGAGATTATATGCTGGTACAAAGACAGACAAATGAACAAATAAAACCTATCTTGAAATTATTCTTTTGGGACCAGCAGTTGGTGTAATGGCTATGTCGCTGAACTCCCATGTAGTCAACCATGGTTCGAGTCCTAGACCTGGTGGCTTAAACTCACACTGGGTACGTGTGCGCACGTGCCCAAGATCCCAAGAGGAAAATGGAGAAGGGATTATGGCGTGGCCAGCCCCCCTGGGGGGGCAATTTCTCGCTTTCTGTCTCTCTGTCTGTCTGGCGAGCACACGCTCCCTATAGCAAAAACCTCTTAAATAAATAAATAAATAAAAAGAAGCAGTTGTAACCAACAACCTAAAATATTTAATCATGCCTTTTTGGGGTGATTTGGTAAGTGTTCTCTGTTTTACCATTTACGGATTTTATTTCAATTTTCCCAGAGGCTTAGAGAATATACTGCTAAAATTCCCTGTTGTATAGATTATTAGGGAAAATAAATTAACAAGTAAGATTGGCCCAAAGACAGAAAGTTGTATCAGTCACATCTCCTTTATGTATTGTGAGGAAGCAACAGATAGAAGGTTTGATGTCCTTTGCTTTTCTGGTCCACAGTCTAATGATAGATCACCTCCAGCTGGGTAGGAACAGCAGAGGTATTGCCATATTCAGATTGGTGAGTCCTGGGTCAGTCAGTAAGATCTGTCTCTTTCAAAGCCTGTGTTGAAAGAATTGCTTATTGCCATTCTAACATTCTCAAATAACCACACAAATGTGGTAATATTATCTTTATGTATCCTTAAAAATCCTTGTCTGATTTGCCATTCACAATTAGTTTTCTTATTCACATTAATCTACCTCATATAGCAAAGATTCAAGCATTTCAAGTTATCTATCAGTTAAAATTTGCATTAGCCTCGGGAACCAGCAGTTAGCGTAATGGCTATGTCACTGGACTCCCACGTAGTCGACCGCGGTTCGTGTCCCGGACCCGGTGGCTTAAAACTCACGCCGGGCGCGTGTGCGTGCGTGCCCAAGATCCCGAGAGGAGAATGGAGGAGAAGGGATTGCGGCATGACCATCCCCCCTGGGGGGTGATTTCTTGCTTTCTGTCTCTATGTCTCTCTCTGTCTGTCTGGCGAGCGCACGCGCCCTACAGTGAAAAATCTCTCCAAAAAAAAAAAAAATTTGCAATAGCCTCCTGGATTGACTCAATCACTGTTGTGTATTTTTTCATCCTATTTGGTTTGCTTAGTATTAAAAATGGACTTTTCTGCCGTCTTACTGGTTTAACTATGAATCAATATATCAGTTATGACTTTCTGTGGTCTTTTAAACTGTTTATTAACCTTGGTCTTTAACATTCACGTTCTTTCTTGCCTTCAACATAAAATGCTCCCTGTTTCATTCTTCTAATGATTTTTTACATTAATACAAAACCACTAATGTAAAATCATACAGAGTACACTTTTTTCCTTTTGAACCATACCTTCAGGTCTCTTAATCTGCTTTTGCTTTTTTACACTTCAGTAATTTATGAATCTTTCTGTTCCCAGATTCTACCAAGTTATTTTCACTAAGTCAGAGTATTCTCATTGTTTTTCATATAAAATTCTGTGGTCTTTGTTTCTTACTGTTTTCTTTTTTTGTCTAATGTGTGTACATTCTTTTAGAGCAGTTGTAGGTTCACAGCAAAATCGAGCAAAAGGTAGAGATGATCCCATGTACTGTCTGCATTCATGGTTTATGTTTTTATTCACCTAACGATGTATATTTTACAAATACAGTTGTTAAGATGATCTCTCCCCAAAATTGTAGTTAAAGTGATTTAAAAGAAGAGGGTATTGGAGCTGGCAGGTGGCATGGTGATGGCACTGGACTCCCAAATGGCTGACCACGGTTCAGGTCTCGGACCTGGCAGCCTTCTCCCTTTCCCTTTTTCTCTCTCTGGTCAAATTTAAAAACAATAACAACAAATAAAGTTAAATAAATAAACAATTTTAGAAACTAATTTTAAAAGATGCTCTGGTATAAAAGCAGTAAGAGGGACCTGCAGTTGGCGTAATGGCTATGTTGTTGGACTCCCATGTAGTCGACTGCGGTTCGAGTCCCGGACCCAGTGGCTTAAACTCACACTGGGCGCATGTGCATGCGTGCCCAAGATCCTGAGAGGAGAATGGAGAAGGGATTGTGGCATGGCCATCCCCCCGGGGGGTGATTTCTCATTTTCTTTCTCTCTGTCTCTGTCTGTCTTTCTGGCAAGCACATGTGCCCTCTATCAAAAACCTCTCCCAAAAATGAGGAGGAGGGCAGTAAGAAACAGCTGTATACAATCAAATATAAACATTGTTTTGTTTTGTTTTGTTTTGCTTAAGATCATACTTAATTTGGGAAAAAGAAAAAAACAGCATTGCTGGTAAAACTTCATTTATACGTAGCCTAGAAAGAGGTTTTAAAACCTTGAATTGTTAAAAATTTTAGTTAAACTAGGATATTTCTAATAACCGGCTTGTATCTTTTTTTTTTAAAATTTGCCAGAGTGCTCATACACATTCTAGAGAGAGACAGAAAGTGAGAAAACGCCCTACATGGGGGATAGTCATGCTGCAATCTGTTCTGCATCTCTCTCTCCTTTTACGGGTTTGGAGAGAGAATTTGGAAAGACACCCCTGACTCGCCCCCCCATCCTATATCTTAAAATTTGTTTGCGGTCTCCTAAGCTGCTAGAAGATTTTGCTTGACGGGCACTTGTAGGATGTGGAAAATGTGCATATTATTAGTAAGCTGGAAAGACTGTTACTTTCCTTTGGCTGAAAAGAAAAAAAGGTAAAAAATTTAAAATATTTAGCTTTTTGCTACCTCATTTTGTGAAACATTAATGAAATACAAAGAAAACATGAGACACTGTGGAGGTCTCAGACTGTACTAGTTTTAAAATTATTCCTTAAAAGCCTTATTCAAAGAAACAGAAAAATATTTGGTAGCACCATTTGAAGTACTCTCTCTGTTCACTATATGTTTTTCTTTTTCTGTGACAGGATTCCTCATGTCCATAACATGTTGGCTGAGACTCCGCAGCTCACCCCCACTCTCAGAGTGGTCAGTCTCCGTTAATTGGACCCCGTGATTTCCATTCTCTGCTGTGCTGGACGTCATGAGCATTGCAATCCCTCTGGGAGTCACCACACCAGATACATCCTACTCAGATATGGCTGCTGGATCAGAGTAAGTGCTAGTTCCTAGATAGTAGCTCACTTTACCAGTTTGTGTGGAGATAACTTTCTTATGGGTAGCTAATAAGAAATAATGTATTTCTTAATGCTTGCCCACTGCAGATGACATTAGACCTTTCCCTTTTCCCCCATAGAAGCTGGAGGGAAAAAGAAATTAAAAGGGGGAGGAAAATAGCTTTTTAGGGAGGGGACTCTGGGATGGGTTTCTGGGTAGATAAAATCGAAGTTGCAAAGTAATGATTACCTTTTCATTTTGTTTTTTGATGGGTGGGGAAGATTGGCATAAAGTAGGTGTCACCACCTGCTGCTATAGAGTTAATGATTATTCTGATAGAGGGAAATGAGATCTTCTTTCCAACTGATTTTTCTTGAAGGCCTCTTCCTATGTGCTTCACATTATTCTAGAATAAAGGGGCTGACACTTTACATGGGCAGGTTGCTTAGATCTAACATTGGGGTAGAAAACGTGGAGAGCCGCGTCATCTGTTTTTATAATATCATTGCCTAGAAAGAGGACCTTCAAAATCAGTGGTACCAAACTTTCTTTTCAGCTAAGAACAGCTTTAGGAATCAGAATTTGTCGAAAAACCCAACCCCTAAAATAGACTCTCAATTCTTGAAGAATTTAAATGCCAAATGACAATGAAGGTAGGCCTTCATTATACAACTTATATATATTATTCACAGTTTTAAAATTTTTAGTCTTTTGTTTCCCTTCTCTTTTAAGTTGTCCGAGATTTTCCCCTGCTCACAGATTCCCCCTCTTGTCCTTTTACCTCCCTTGTACCCAATCTTCCTTGCTTACAGAAAGGAAGTGGAAGCCCCCTACCTTTCAAGACGAAGTGGCACTACACCAGGATGTGAAAGTCCAGCGAAAGAGACCCAAGGGGCCTAGGGGGCAGCACACCCCCAGAAGCCAAGTGTATTCCAGGCAGTACCAGGGATTAGGGTCTGGGCTGGAAAAATCCTGGTGTTTTGAATATGTTCAGGTCCAGTTCAGACTCTTGATCCCACAGCCACTTCTTGAGTGAGGTGGGTGTTGCTCTAATTCCCCTGTTTTCTTGCCATATTCATAATCCCTGGGGATTCTTCCCCCTTCAGCAAAGCAAAGCAACTGTACCAGAATTCTGGGTTGAACAACATCCCTGATTAATAGTGGTTTTCTTTCTTAAAACTAAGAATATTATTAAAGAACATTCATATGTCTTTATAAAACCACATACTATAATTTACCTGTTTACTGAGTTCTTTAAAGAGGAAGATGTAAAGCTACCCTAAGAAGGATTATATTTAATATTCTGGGGTAATTTAGAATTGAAAATCATTTTTGAGCTTATTCCTACATAAAAAGGAAGGAGGGTGGGAGGTGGGGAAAGGCGGATTATATTCCTTCAAGAGCTTTTTTCTTCTTGCATGCCAAAGAGATTTAGTTACGCTATTAGCCTAGACTTCAAACTTTACAACTGCTTCTTTAGTTGTTTCTGTAGTACTTTATTTGGGCAAATAAAGTACTCTTTAAAATCTTGATTACTTGGTAGCTGGATTGTTTAGCAATGAGAGACTTTTATAAAGTTAGCTACTAACCTGCTACTCTGTAGATTGGCAAACTGTTTAGGTAGATGTTCGTGAGAAATTTCATTAAAGTGGTTAAATTACTAAGTTTGTAATTAATAGAGAAGAAAAAGACCCAAAGTAGTTATTCTTAAAACTGGCATTTCCCCCAGAGTATAGAGATGACTATCTAAAAATGTTGCTTGGGAAGTCTAAGAGAAACTGCAGAACAGAAATACTTCTGGTCTACAAATTTGACTGCAGTGTCTCTATTAACACCAGCATATTCTAGAATTTCCTGAAAGATTTTTATTTATAACTACATCCAGATTTCTGACACCGTGGTTACAAGTACAAAGTTACTCATTTAGTATTTCTACAAAGAGAGAAAATGTCAGTCATTAGCTTTTGTACCACTCTGTTTAATTATTGATATTTGTTAATGTTTCACCATGCCTATTCCACTATTCCAAGTACTCCAAGATTAAGCCTGGTATTAACTATAAATAGTCAACTAAGTGAAAGACCTAGATAGACCTTATGTCTTGGGATTTAAATCTGATGACAAGAATATACAATATGGGCTTTTTTTGTATATTTGTAGAAAAATTTGTAGATATAAAAAACAAAAAAAGCAAAGTTTTTTCTTTTTTTCTGAATTTCTAACTGCTACAACAGATTATCAGGCACTTCCCAAGAGGTCACATTATACCAGGTGGTTGTATATTGTACTTGAACAATGTGAAATATATCAGTTGTGAGCCTGGTTTCTGTGTTTGTGCTCAGCTGTCATAGCAGTTCAGTCATTGGAGAAGAAAGCTGTTGATGCAATTATATTTGCATACAGTCGTTGATAATAAAGAGATGCAATCCTCATACTCTAAATTTTTCGTCCATATTTTAAAATACAAATGAAAACTGATATATATCTCAAGGGATATTTAGGAAATCCTGTAGTTCGTTACCTGTCAACATCTAAGTATTTAATCAATAACCAATAATCAATGGAAATTGCAAAGTTTCCTCATTAAAAGGTATGAGTTAAATTTTAGCATTGGCATGCATAGCAATATATGAAAAGCTGTGCTTGACTAGGGAAAGTCTTGTACAGTGGGATGGCCTGTTAACCTCCACAATATACATTTTATTTTATTCCCTAGACTTGCACATGAAGTGCATATGTTCATATTTACCCAGTTTGGAGATGGGTAAGATACGATCAACATAGTTCCATCTCCATGGCCATCTTTTATTTCATGCAACTTTTCTTTTTCTCTGTTCTCCCCACTCCCCCAAAAAAATCCATTCCTAATAAACAGCTGTCATGTTTCACCCCATGTGTTGGTAGGATATATCCTATATAAAATATGTACAGCTCTTTGGGATGCTTGTTTATCTAGTGATGTACGTAGTAAATTAACAATGTTATACAAATATATTATTTTTTTTTAACTGTCCATCATAGAAACTAAATTCTACTTTCATTTTATTAATGCTTGTCTGCCTTTGGTTTCACTTAGGAAACCCCACCTGTTTCCTAATACTCAGAGCTGATTGTTTCTCAGTAAGCCATATTCAGATCATCTTTTTCTCAAGAATACTGACCTGCATTCTTGATATAACCCTTCCCCCCAGTTCCCATCTTGCAGACACTCTTAAGTAATAAAATGCATGCACTTAACTAACAGAGAATATTTTCCTATGTCTGAAGTTCTTCTTCACCTAGAAATTACCTTTGCTGTTATTAATAAGATTCCTTCTCACAGTTTTGGAGCATATAATTAGGTGAGTTGGATACATATTCAGACTTCTTTTATCCCTCACTTCTCAGCCAACGTTGCACCACGTTGAACTGCATACTTGATTCCTGCCAAGCACTTTGTGTTGTATATCTTCAAGCAGGAGAAATGCCTATTATTTGAAGCGAACAGTATGCATTATTTTATTGCCTAAATAAAAGACCCATTGATCTCTAAGGTTGAGTTATTCTAGTCCGTGGAATTAGTAACGTGTGAACCTTTGTTCTAATTAATATAAATTACAGATAATCCATTAATTCAATTCTGCAAAATCATACAATTACTTTCCTTGATTATCCTTCAAAATTCCCCCAGACCTAACTAGGTAACAATCAGAGTTGAAGTTCTTTCATCCCCAAAGCTTGAATTTTATTCTTTACCACCTGTACCTTTTATTATGATTTTAAGGGTTACATGAAATTTCTAAATTTGAATACATGCGTAATTCTTTCATAATGAAAAGAATTGTGTTTGAATAGTGTATTTTTCACTCAGTGAGGATACAAAAATATATGAAACCAAGCTTTTCACTAAGCCTGGTTAATAAAGGTCTCAGGTAATTTTCTTTAAAGATAGAATGTTATCCTGATTTCCAAACCAAGAGACAGTAGAAAGAGCACAGGCTTTGGAATTAGATGGGCTTTGTTTCAGACACTGGCTCTAGTCAATGTGTGACCTTGGGGAAGTCATGTTATCTTACCACCTTTGCTTCTCCCTCTGTTAAAAATGAAGTACTGTTGGCCATGTATAATGGTTATACAAATGAAATGAATTTAATTGCATATATATGTGTGTGTATATATATATATATATGTATATATATGTATATATAGCACCTAGCAGATAATAGTGATTCAAAATGGTAGCTACTTCTATTGTTATTATTTGTCACTAAACTAACAATAACTTCCCAGTTCAATTATTTTGAAGTTCTTTGGTTTTACCATGCAGCTGTTAAATAATTGTGTCCTTGATATGCTTGCATGTCATTGGTGGATGAAAAATTATTTCTCTGATATTTGAAAGGTGTTTGGGGGTTCGTCAAGATGAGAGGTGTGATAAATATAAGATGCCATTGTTTTTACCTGTACTTTCTTCAGGGTATCCTGTCTTGGTAGTGAATGGAAGAGGGCCTGGTCCCTGGGGCAGTGCAGAAGGCACTTTCATCATCTCACTCACTGCAAATGTCATGTGAGGTTTCATGGAAGTATTAAGAGATCCAATTAAGAAGAATAGTTCTGAGTCTAAACCAGCCCAGAGTGGCTTCTCTAGGGGAAACTCCCCGCTCAGCTGGTACGTTTGTGTTTGTCATTAGGGACACCTTGTATCCCAGGTGCCTGCCTTGAGACATCTGCCTGTACTGGCTTCATGTTACACACAGATCCACATTTAATAACACTCCTACTGTTATTTATAGGCTAGTTACGTTAATCAGATTGTTTCACTGAGTTCTTTTCTCTTATTCTAGTGGCTGGTGGTTGTGTAAAGAGGAGGGGTTAGAATGGGAAGTGAAGTATTAGTTTAAGGGAAGATTAGGTGTTATGCTATCATGCGTTGCTTTTCGCCTTTGTGCAGCCCTGAATCTGTGGAGGCTAGTCCAGCAGTTAATGAGAAGAGCGTGTATTCCACTCATAATTATGGGACCACTCAGAGGCATGGGTGTCGAGGACTGCCTTATGCTGTGAGTATGCATTTGTTTTTCTCCAGAGCAGTGATCTTCCTGGAGTGTAATCCATTCTTATACATTGTGACTTTCTTGAAATGTTTATATGCAGCATGACGAAGTTGCCCCTTTTGCACTTCCCTGCCTCCAGCGGACGTCTAGCCCTGCATCATTGTTCTTGTTTTTATGTCCCAGTTGACCTTGGCATTTTGTTTTATCACTTTCCTGGTTGAAGCCAAAAAACGAAGGGTACTACTTTCTTCTTTCTTTCCATATGTACCATACTTTAGGGGAGAGAGGGGCCAGTGTTTGGACACTGTTGATTTAAAAAATCTTATTTTCAGGATCATAATTACGGAGCCCCTCCTCCTCCGACACCTCCTGCTTCTCCCCCTGTCCAGACGATCATCCCTCGTTCTGACCTGAATGGCCTGCCGTCGCCCGTAGAGGAACGCTGTGGAGACAGCCCGAACTCTGAAGGAGAGACTGTTCCTACCTGGTGTCCTTGTGGTCTTTCTCAGGATGGCTTCCTTCTCAACTGTGACAAGTGCAGGTAAGATCCTGTTCCATCTAAATTCAAGCCTGGGTTTGCTGGGATTAGGGTTTCTTATTAGTAGGGAAAAGCTCAAAGTATTCTTTCTTGTGTTTGTTAATGTAGATGATTCCTTAGTGCTCCTTGGCTCGAATTCTCTGCACTAGGTGAGAATTGCTGACAACAAGGAATGAGAGATTGATGTTAAAGCTATTGAATTTGATATGAAATTTAATGTCCTGGAAACATTTGGTAGGTGGGAGGGAGCGGGTAGTATATGCAGAGACACTTCTCCCATATGTGCTATGATGCTGCATGCTTTTGAAAGGACTACTTTAAGTTTATTTTCCCTCTTTAGGGGAATGAGCAGGGGGAAGGTTATTAGACTTCATCGTCGGAAGCAGGACAACATATCAGGTGAGTAGAAGATGGTTTAAGGCCCCATTTTGACATAAAAATGTTTTGTTACTTAAATGTTAATCTTAATAATCCCTTTTTGTAAATTCCCCTGGACCCCAGATCTTATGGAGTAGGGCGGAAGTCTCTCAGGACCACTGATAGTGCTCTCTCTCTGAATTAACTCAGTCTATCCAGAAACATTTTAGCCCTTTAGCCATCAAAGTAGTCTTGTGAGCACATAGCAAAATAAAGATCCTATTCTTTGAATCTGAGTCTCAGATTGTTACATATTGAAGCAACAGAACTTGAGAATTGAATAAAAGGGGAGACATAAATACAGTATAGAATAGGGGTTATATGCCAGCAATTATTTAGAAACAAGAATCTTGTTTTAGTAAGTAAAGATGGATATTTATGTTGCTTTACTGCTGCCAGTAGAGCTACATATTAATAGCAGAAGTAATGACTCACTGGATTTAGGGCACATCCATAAACAAATAAGATGCTTTTCATGAACTTTTGAAGTTGCTAGTACCTAAACTATGAAATCACCCTTTTTTCAGGTGGGGATAGCAGTGCAACAGAAAGCTGGGATGAGGAGCTTTCTCCTTCCACTGTGTTGTATACAGCAACACAGCACACACCTACCAGCATCACCTTAACTGTTAGAAGAACCAAACCCAAGAAGCGGAAAAAGAGTCCAGAAAAGGGTCGTGCAGCACCAAAGACGAAGAAAATCAAGGTATGGAGGGTTGGAATATACTAAATAGAACGATGTGTGAAATAGTTCAAATTTTGGAACTCTTAAGAATGCACCGAAATTATATTAACAAGCTTGATCCACATGTTTGATGAGCTACTTTTGCTCTACTTACACAAATCAGCTAATTTGTGTTATGTACATATATAGACCAACCTCTCTTCTGCCACACCATACCATCACCACTGGCTCAAAGTTTCTTTTACTCCAACCCATCCCAGGTATGAAATTCCAGCCCTACCTGGCGCAAGCCCATATGTGTTGCAGCCTCAAGGCTAGGCTTCCACTATCATTACAGTATTATCCCCCCACCTCTCAGCCCCAAGTATTCTGAAGTTCTTCTCCTGATTACATGCCCACTTCATGTCATTGGGATATTTTTTCTGTGTAAAACAACAACAAAAACAAATAGGAAACATCTCTTCGATGGTCTAGGCTTCCTCAGTGTCATGGTCACATTCCTGTATTCTCAACTATAATGTCTCTAGGAGAAACCTCTTCTGTTTGTGTTCTTTCTTCCCCATCAGAGCAACTTCGTTGCTCCTAGGTGACTTGTCCACCCCTTGTTAAGGGGATTGGTCTTTGTGTCCTTCTTAATTTCAAGACTGGTAAATCTGCAACCTTACTTAAAAGTTTATTTCTCTGAGTTTCAGGATTTAAGTGATGCATGCTCTTCCCTGTTAATTACTTAAGTCCACAATAGAAAGAATGAGTTTGAGTTCATTGGCCTTGAGTTACCCCTATTCTTGAAAATAGTGTGGGGAATTCCACTGTATTTGTTACCTACAGAAAAGGGGACAAATAGAATACTAGCGTGTGCCTTAGTTTTAGTCTCGGATAGGTATAACTGTCATTCTTGGTACCAAGTTTTGTTTTGTTCTACTTGTTTTCCTCTTTGGGATAGGCATTTCGAGAGGGATCCCGGAAGTCCTTGCGGATGAAGGTAAGGGGTAATCTTCCCTGATGCTGTGTTTTACTTCACTGTGATCTTGCATTTTAGTCAGCTTCTTTCCTGGCATTGATGGTCTGAGAGTCTTGGACTCTGCTTTTCGTTACTTTGTAATTGCTGCCATTCAGTTTTCATAGGGTTTTTTTTCCAAAGTAGATTTTCTTGACCATTTTCTAAAATATTTTCTCTTTCTGTAATCAGCCTTCATTTATTTGATTGGTTTTTCATTAGCCGCTTCTCTCTGGGGTAAGTGATGTTTGGCCAAAGAAAATTATACCGGTGTGTTTTGTCATTGTGACTGGATTCATCCTCAGGGGCGAGGTTTTTCTGATAATAATATAGGCTCTTTTCTAGACCAACCTTAGTACCATGTGGGCTTTAATCACCAGTTGGAAGGATAAATCTCAGCAGAAAAGTTGTATTATTGATAGGAATTACTCTTACTGGAATTTACTTACTTTTGAACCATTTTCTCTTAGCATCTCTGATTGGTGGATAACACTCTGGTGATGTTAGGGTGTTTCCTTTTTCAGTTATCAAATAAAAGAACGTATGTGATATAATTTTGTAAAGAGGCTAGAAAATACAGTATATGCAGTATTTTATAAGGACTTTTAGTTACTAGTTGATAAAAATAGTTTGCCGAAAGGAGATTTGATAATCCTACCTGGTATCTTTTTTTAACTCATGTATGTATAGGAGAACATTATACCTCCCAAATCAGTACTTACTGCCTCAAAACCTTTAATTATAATTTAATTGAGTTCTAGTTTAATTCTAGAAGTATTCATATCCTTAAATGGGATAATTCCTACCGACAGTACTGTGCCATAAACATTAAGATCTTTGGTGAGAATAAACTGTCCTGGGATTACTCTATACTTATATGTATCACCAGTATGACTTTTGTTATTAAAGAATGTAAGTGGCATTTATTCCCAATTTGAAGTCCTCACTTTATATTACTTACCAAGAGACTTGTATATACCTTTAAAGGGGATAGGTGAGGGGACCAGCAGATGGCATAGCAATTACATTGCTGGATTTCCACATGGCTGTCCGTGGTTCAGGTCTCGGACCCAGTGCCTTGAAACTCATGCCGGGCCACATGTGTCCGAGATCCCAGAAGGAGAATATAGGAGAAGGGATTGCGAAGTGGCTAAACCCCCAGGGGGAGGCAGAGCAGGTGGGTATCTTTGGATACCCGGCGAGGGCATGCACCCTAAGGCAAAGAGAGAGGAGAGAGATGGGTGAGGACTTAAAAACACAGAGCATCAGAAATCTAGAATGTGTCTTAGAACACAGCTTAATCATTTCTTTGCTACATCTATTTCTTGTGACCAGCCAAGTTTGTTTCTGTTGCCCCGTTATTTTGATCTCATTTACTTAGAAGGTTCTCTTAGATAGATTTTGAGAACAGATATAATACAGAACCCTTTTCTCTTTTATTAACCTTCAGAGGTTCAAAAGTTTTTGAAAATTATTGATTGGCTGGCACAGAAAACTGCAGATAAACTTATATTTTCAGAAGGTTGACAGCCCCACAAGCATGTTAAAAGTTTGGACAGGTGTCCATCCGTGGTGGCACAGCAGTAGCTCAGTGCTTTGCAGTGTTGAAGCCATGTGGCAGATCCAGGTTAAGTTCACTAGTCTGCATGTGCCCAGGCATGCCAGGCACTCAGACCCATGATCTTGGCTGATGGAAAGGTTTAGAAGGTACAAGGGATTACGATATGAGACCCTGTGTCCATTTGTCTTTCTCTCTTAAGACATAATTTTTTTTAATTTAGACAGAAAAAAATCATTTTTTATTTACATATTTTTTAATTTAATTGTATTTATTTTTTATTTTTAAATTTGCTATAGGACATGTGTGCTCACCAGAGAGGGAGAGAGAGAAAGCAAGCCACCAAGGCCAGGACTTGAACCTCAGCTGACCATGTGGGAGTCTAGCACCTTAACTACCATGCCACCTGCCAGCCCCTTTATTTATATTTTTTGAGAAAGGAAGGGAAGTACTTTTGACAGGATCTTACCATGTCACAATTCACCTGTACCACCTTCCCAGCTAGGTAGGATTACAGGCTCTGCCATTGGGCTGGGAACTGAGCCCAGGCCTCGCAATGTGGCCCCAGCAACCACACTGCAACACCCTCCCATTTTTGTTACCACAGCTGGGCCTGTGTTTTATTTCTCACATCATTGTTGCAAATCGAGGTGTATATTTTGTACTCAGGGCTAATTATTAAGAGCTCCACCAGAAGATCCAGGTGGAAGCTGTGAGAGTGGGAAAATTTATTATTTGGGGTTTTTTTTCTTTTTAGTTTTTGCTCTAGGGCACATGTGCTCATTGGAGAGGGATAGGGGGAGAGGAAAAGTGAGCAATCATCTCCCAGGGTGGGGTTGGCCGTGCTGCAGTCCCTTCTCCATTCTCCCTTCAGGACTTTGGGTATGTGTATACATGCACCCATCATGTTTTTCAGGCCACCCAGTCCAGGAATCAAACGGCATAGTTGGCCGTGTGGGACCCAGCTACCTTAACCTCCGTACCACCTACTGGCTACATCATTTTGATTTTTTAATCCCAAAGTCAAGAAGAGTTTCCCTACTGGAGATTTAACCTTAAACCAGGCTCTCTTAACTCAGACACTGTTGAAATGTTGGACCACATGATTCTGTGTTGCAGAGAAGACTGTCCTTTGCATTGTAAGATGTTTAGCAACATTCCTTGTGTCTACCCACTAGGTGCCAGTAACATACGTACCATTTGTGATCATCAAAACTATCTTCAGATATTAGCAAAGTCTCCTGAGAGCATAATTATCCCCCCACCCCCGTCCACAGTTGCAAACCACTGCTCTAAACCCTCTGAGATGTGGAGTCCCAGGTACTCCAAAGGATAGCACAGTAGAGTAACCAAAGTCAGATTAGTGAACAATGGCCAGCACTGTGGGAAAGCAGTAAGTTTAACAAGTCATTAATTTAGTGATCATTACTGGATGCTTAAAACTGGAAACGCTGTTTGGACACTCTTAAAATCTCAAGTTTTGAACTATTCTTTTGCTCACCTGCTACTGGTAATGTTAAACAGGTGATAGTTCGTTATCAGAATGTTGGCCAGGGATATTTCTCAGACCCTCTTGTTTATTTATTAAGTCTTTTTCAATCTTTTAGATTCTAGTAAAGAATGTAGCAAACACGGTGTTAATTTTTTCCTTCTCTTCCCCTGTCCCTTGGGGGAAAGTTGGTAGACAATGATCAGTGCAGAAAGCAGTTGTTGTGGTAGGCATCAGTGTTTTCTGTGCCATTCATGGAAAGTATATTTAATTTTGTTACGCTTGTTTTTGCAAGTTTGGTGTGGACGTGGATTTTCAAGTGGCTTTGGTACTGCAGTTTTCTTTCTAATCATCACTAGCATGACATCATCACTCTCAGTGTTTGTTTTGTTTTCTGAAGATACCTTGAATTTAGAGCACCAGGGAAGAGTATGTGTGTCAGACTTCAGCTGTGTCTCTGTAGCTTGAGCACATATAAGACTGTCTATTTAGAATATTGTTGCTGAGATCTTTTCTCAGTACTGTGGCCATAGTCGCAGTGGTTTCCTATACAAGTGTAGCAAAGTAGCTCTCGGACATTTTCTATATTTTTCCTCTATCCATTCTTTCTGCTCACTTTACCTCTTCAGCGTGTTTAGAATATGGCTCTTAATTGTTGGAAATATAGTGCTAAAAAGATAAACTTCAAAATGATAACTTTTCCTATGGTAAAGTTCTGATAAAGGTAATAAAATTTTTTTATTGATTTGACTTATCTATTTGAGTCACATAAACATTTAGAATGATTATGTATTAATTGTATAATGAAAATAATAAATGACACAAAAACCATTCTCCTTGAGAGCAGTAAAACATCCACTTTGGGCAAGCACACTAGCAAGCATATACAGTTAGTTTTGAAATTTTAAGTGGAGTGATAATTTGAAGTCTCTGCTGTTCATTTTTATGAAGCTTTTTTTTTTTTTTACGATCTTGATGTCAGTCTTTTGATAAGAACAAATTTATTTTTTGACTTGAAATGGTCATAAAATTAGTGATGATGTAAAACTATTATCCAGATTCATTCCTCGCTTTATAACTGGGGAAACTGAGCTTCCCTCATTTAAAGCAGTTGTCCATGACCTCATAGTTCTTTGGTAACAAAACCGTGATAGAAGCCAGATCCCCTGACTCCCAGTTCACTGTTCTTTGATGCCACACTAACTGCCAAGTGAAAACAGATTTCCTCTGGAAACTCATCCTGTCTTCCCCCACCCTCTGTCTCTGTGCTTCGGCTCTACTAACCTCTTTGACCTTTGTTCTCTACAGAATTCTCCCTCTGAAGCACAGAATTTAGATGAGAATACGACTGAGGGCTGGGAAAATCGGATAAGATTATGGACTGATCAGTATGAAGAAGCTTTTACTAACCAATACAGTGCAGATGTACAGAACGCCCTTGAGCAACATCTACATTCTAGCAAGGAATTTGTGGGCAAACCTGCTATTTTAGATACTATTAATAAGACTGAATTGGCCTGTAATAACACAGTTATCGGTTCCCAAATGCAGGTAAGGACCAAAGGGTTCAGTAGACGCTCTAAGTAAGTACTTCTGACTACTAAGAATCCAGGATGAGACAATGTATTATAATGACTATTTCTTCCAAATGTACAGGCCTTAGAATAATCATTAAGCCATCTATTGATCATCTTTAGCCAAAAGTAGATTGTATTAACTAGAAACTTGATGCATATTTTCAACCTTTCTGAACAAAAATAGATGAATTAAGATAGAAAATTTTATACTGCCTTGGTAGGAATTATGTAAGATTTGTAGAAAGCTAATAAGTTTGTTCTTTCTCATTCTGTATTAGACATAGCGCCTCTAAAATCTTAATCATGTGTTTTTCTTTGACCTTGCTCTTTTTAATTAGAGATTTTTGCTATAGGGTGTGTGCGCTCATCAGAGAGACAGAAGCTAGAAATCACCCACCCAGGGGGATGGCCACACTGCAGTCTCTTCTCCTCCATTCTTTGGGCATCTTGGGCACACACGCACATGAGTTTTATGCCGCCAGGTCCAGAACTCAAACCACGGTCAACTACTTGGGAGTCCAATGACGTAACCATTATGCCACCATCCGCTGGTCTGTCTCTGACCTTTTCTTACCTTTTTTTTTTTTTTCCCAGAGAGAAATTTTTTGCTGTAGGGCATGTGTGCTTGTCAGACAGACAGAAAGTGAGAAATCACCCCCCGGGGGATGGCCATGCCACCCACAGTCCTTTCTCCATTTTCCCCAGGATTTTGGGTACGCATGCACACATATCCACCGTGAGTTTTAAGCCACTGGGTCTGGGATTTAACCACAGTTGACTCTGGGAGTCCAGCATCATAACCATTATACCATCTGCTGGTCCCTTTCTTACCTTTTTCTGAAGTGCCAAGTTCATTGGATGGCCTAGCATGTTTCCTAGAAAAATTAAGCTTATAGCAAATTAAAAATGTTGAGTGTCTGTCAAACTGCTGGTGCATATTGTTTAATGTTAAAACTCTGGTGGTGTTTTATTCAGTTACAGCTGGGAAGAGTCACTCGTGTTCAAAAGCACCGGAAGATCTTGAGGGCTGCACGAGATTTGGCTTTGGACACTCTTATAATAGAGTATCGTGGGAAAGTCATGTTACGGCAGCAATTTGAGGTCAACGGGCATTTCTTCAAAAAGTAAGAATGTTATTTATTGACCAGTGAGGGCTTCCAGGGGCCCATCTGGCCAGTATTGTAAAAATCATTCTGGCTGATAGAATAGTCTTGGGGAAAAATTGCAACTCAGATAAGCTCACGCCTATGTGCTATTTGTAGAGAAGTACAAGTAAATCTGAAAATTGTTTAATGCATAGAGTGGTGATGATTCCTTTCCAAGCCAAGCATTTCTTGCTTTGTGCTTGTTATTTAATCAAAAGCAGACAAGCATGTGATGTTTCCAAGTTTAGGCATTAAAAAAGGACTGCTGCTACTTCTGTCAGCATATGCTTCATATTTGGAGTCATGGGGTGGCCTTTTCTTTTGTGTTGAGAATTACAGGAATTTTAATTGTATCCCTAGACCATACCCCTTTGTGCTCTTCTACTCAAAATTCAATGGTGTAGAGATGTGTGTGGATGCTCGTACTTTCGGTAATGATGCTCGGTTCATCAGAAGATCATGTACACCAAATGCAGAGGTAAGATATCTGTAGCAACTGCCCTTTGAATGGACCCACCAAAGGACAAGCTTCCTGAAGAAGCAGTCAGAAACCTTCGCCCAGATAAAGGTCTGTAGATAATAGTATTGATCTTTCATTTTGAGAGATGAAAAACAGAAGTAATAAGTGCTTTTATACTGATAGGTTGGGGACTGAGGGATGGATTTTTCTTTAAAGAAGGCGGCGGGGGGAATTAACATTTGCTAAAAAGAAAGAGCTTGACTGGATAGGAAGTCAATGGTGGAAAAAGATGTTATTAGGCCCAACCAAACTATTCATCAAGTTTTTTAGATTTTAGTAAGCAGTGTCTCAAGAGAGACTCAAAAAATTTCTATACTTCATTACTCAGTGCGGCCACATCAAATGCAGCAAGAAAATCCATAGAACTTTATCTGTAGGCTGGGGAATTTCAATTCCCTGGTGGAGCTAGAAACAGTTTAAGACATAGAATGGTAATTTTATCCTGGTATCTAACATCTCAAGGTTTCTCCATTTATTTTAAGAAGTAATCATAAATTCTTAAGCCATGAGTACATGATAAGTTGAAATGGAACAATGCCGTTAAATAATAATAGACTGCCATAACTCTAAGTGGGGAAACATTTTTTGGGTAAAAGGTTTTTTTCTCTTCTAGAAAGTTCATAGTCTTTTTGATAAATCCAACCATAAGTTTTGTTCATATAGGTGCGACACATGATTGCAGATGGGATGATTCACCTGTGTATCTATGCTGTGTCTGCCATCACCAAGGATGCTGAGGTCACCATAGCATTTGATTATGAGTATAGTAACTGGTAAGACCTCAGTACTTTTCCTAACGTGAATGACCTTGTTCTATGTAAAGTGTGCTTTTGTTTCTTGCCCTCTCCTCCTTTATTTACTTACTCTTTCCATGAGTAATTTATTTCCTGCCTAGAAATTGTGAAGAAACAACATAGAGTTAAGTTTTGTTAGAGATACAGGTACAATATATGATAAATGCTTATAGGTCTAACGTGGCAAAAATAGCAAAAGGCCATTCTTGAGCCACTGGAAGTTGCAGTAGAATCTGTTGTATCTATATATGACTTGTGCTTGTTACATTTATTTTAATAAAGCTGGCAAAGGGGGAATAGATTTAAAGATTTGTACCATCCCCTCAGACCACATTAGCTGTGACAGTACTGAAAAACAGATGGCAAGTCGTAGACAAATATGTATGATGAGTTTTGTAAAGTAGATGCTTCATCATATTGAACAAAATAGAGGTTAGATGAATTGGCCCAGTTAAAAGAGGAGATAAGTGAGAAATCAGTAAATAAAAGTGAGGCAGGATGATGATAGGCTAGAGACAAGTATGGCGACTTCATATTCTCTATCCTTAATTCATCACCTGCTAAATAGCATAAAAACATGAGAACTGAACTTAGTGTGGGCTTTCTTTCCTTTCCTCTGACCATCCATAGAACAGTAGGGTTTATACAGAGAAACATAGAACACTGTAAATATTAATAGAACTCACCAATGTCGCTGTTTAACTTAATTCAAAGATAATATTACTGTACTAACATTTCTAAGGAATGAATGGATAACGTAACTAAAGTTAAAGGGTACTAAGACAGACACTTTTGGTTGTTTCTTTGGAGCAGTAATTATAAAGTGGACTGTGCATGTCACAAGGGAAACCGGAATTGCCCTATACAGAAAAGGAATCCCAATGCTGCAGAATCGCCAATCCCACCTCCTCCAAGCCTACCCACCATTGGAGCAGAGACCAGACGTAGAAAAGCAAGACGGAAAGAGCTTGAGATGGAACAGCAAAATGAGGCTATAGAAGAGAATAATGACCAGCAACCACAAGAAGTTCCAGAAAAAGTATCTGCATCCAGTGATCATGAGGTACTCTTCCCTGGTCACATGTTGATCCTGTCCAAATGCAGAGGATCCCAGGTCGCCATATACTGTTTTATGTAGGGAAGCTCTAATAACACTTGATGTCCTTTATATCAGTGTGGCTGTACTTTCATTGATCTTCTTTTTCTTCTGCAATGTCAAGAATACCCTTTGCACTACTTTCCATGATGTAGTCCAGAGTGTGGGGGTTACTGTCAACGTTTACTGTGGCCTCAGATGAATAACGCTTTTAAGCACTAGCAATTCTTTGTAGAGTTTCAAACTATCAGAATAAAACAGATTGATTTTTCTCTGAGCTGAGTCCAACTGAATATTGCCTCTGTCTTAAAGGAAGTAGACAATCCAGAAGAAAAACCAGAGGAGGAAAAAGAAGAGGTTATAGATGACCAGGAAAACTCAGCTTATAGCAGGAGGGTGGGTATATTCTATCAACTTTTTATTCCTTCTCATTTCTACTACCTACAGCATATGAACCCCTTTTCTTCTTAGGATTTGTATCATCTCATTTATTTGACCTAGAGCTTACATTGTAGGGGCTTTTGACCATAAAGGAGATTTTATTATAGTTTTTGGATTTCTTTTCCTACATATACACTTATCTAATGATGTTTAAGAGGTTTCTTATCAAGAATCTAGCTTCCAGAAAACTGGGTGGTCAAAAAATATATTGGAGTTCTTTTGCTCAGACTTAAGAATTTTCTGGATTTGTGTGGATGATAACATCTTTTTTTAAAAAATAATAATAACTTATATGTGTGGATTAAAGTATCCTGCTTTTATGCTTGAATCAATCATGTTTATGTCCCTGAAAATACTTTTTTTAGAGTTTTTTAATAATTATTTATTTAATTTTTAATTTATTCATTCATTTATTTTAATTTGACCAGAGAGACACGCACAGAGAGAAAGAAGTAGGGAGAAAGTGAGAAAGCAAGCCACCAGGTTCAGGAATCTAACTGTGGTCAGCCATGTAGTAGTATTCAGTGCTTTAACCACCATGCTACCTGCTGGTCCCTCTAAAAAGACATTTAAAGAAGAGATCTACTTGGTTTTTGTTTTTTGTTTTGTTTTTTTGTTTTTTTAATAGAGGTTTTTGCTATAGGGCACATGCACTTGTGAGGAAGAGAGAGACAAGAAGCGAGAAATCACCCCCCAGGGGGGATGGACACATATACACATGCACCCGGCATGAGTTTAAGCTATCAGGTCCAGGACTCAAACCACGGTTGACTACGTGAGAGTCCAGCGGCATAGCCATTATGCCAACTGCTGGTCCCTATTTTTGAATCTTAAAAAGTACAGAGGAAAACTGGATTTGAGGGGTATTTTTCTTTTATATTAAAAAATTTGAAAATAGCTGATCTTTTTTAGGTTTAAGTTTGACTTTATTACAACTGTTTTCAACATTTTTTTTTTTAAGAATTATTTTATTTAACTTTCTTTCTTTCTTTTTTAACTTGACCAGAGAGGGACAGAGAGAGAAAGAGAGAGAAGCGCGCGCAAGCCACCAGGTCTGGGACTTGAACCATGGGCAACCATGTGGGAATCCAGCGCTCTTAACCACCACGCCACCTGCTGGCCCCACAACTTTTTTCAACTTTTAAAAATGAAATTTTGGTTTTAGTTTTTGTCTAGGTTCTCCAAGATGTGTGTGTCAGTCAGCTCACTAGTAGTTAAATGAGTACATTTCCATTAATAATTCTTCTGAAGAGTGTCCCCACTCCTCCTCCTTGTTTAAACTTCCTTCTGTGCCAATGCTATTTTGTTCCAGACCCGGGAAGATAGGAAGGTTGAAGCCATCATGCATGCTTTTGAAAACTTGGAGAAAAGAAAGAAGCGGCGGGATCAGTCCTTGGAACACAACAACTCTGACATAGAGATTACTACTACCACCTCAGACACCCCTGTTGGAGAAGAGACAAAGACTGAAGTCCCTGAATCCGAAGTTAGCAACCCTGTATCAAATGTTCCCATGCCAAGCAACCCTCAGAGTGTTGGTGTGAATACTCGGAGGTCTTCCCAAGCAGGGGTATGACTCCAAGGCTTTGACTTTCTTGTTTTTGCTAATGCCAATGACCTGTGTGTGTGTGAAAGGAAAAGGTTCTAGTTTATTAAGTAAAAGCAAAAGTACACTCAAAAGAGTTAGGAGCAACCCCAGAGAGAGTGGCTCAAAAGGCCCTGACAGCAATATTCTGTGACATTTATTTTATTTATATATTTTATAAAGAATTGTTTGTTTTGAGCCAGCAAGTAATGTAGTGGTTAAAGGCCTTGGACTCCCACATGACCCACCGAGGTTCCAGTCCAGGACCTAGTGACTTGTTCTGTCTCTCTCTCTTTCTCATCAAAATTGAAAAATAATTACAATAATTCTTTGTTTAAAAAAATAGTTATTTATTTAATTTTATTTATTCGTTAATATATTATAATTTGACCAGAAAGAGAGAAAATGAGAAAGCAAACTCCAGGTCCAGGGCTCGAACCATAGTCAACCATGTGGGAGTGTCCAACCCTTAACAGCCACACCACTTGCTGTCCCCATTGTTTATAATTTTTTAATCTAGGTCATATTGGTTGATTGGTTACTGGACCTACTGATTTATCTCATTGGCTATAGCAAATGTGGCTTAATCAGCTAGCCATTGCCCACTAATCTTCTGCCTACATTGCCTTGGGTGGGGAATTTTCTGACCTGATGGGTTTCTCTCTCTAGTCACATGGACAGGTGCTCTAGCCCCCTTACCCACTTCCACTTATTAGAAAGACCTATCTTTTAAAATTACCTTTTGGAGTGATTATAGTCAGTATTTTCAATCTGTCTCTTAATGGATGAGGCCATTTAACTAGAACCATGTGCATTGGTTGATTTTTGGGATTATGGGTGACAGGTAAAGTCAGAGAATGAATGACTTAAAAGGCTTCAGATTAGGATGGAATTTGATACTGTATCTGTCAGATTAAATCATTTTGTTTTATGTAAGCTTTATGTTCTGGTGGTTAATAGACCTGTATCCCACATGGCTGACTATGTGATGGAGTCCCTCAAGGACAGCTTGGGATACATGCTAGGCACCTGTGCATGCATACCCAAAATCCTAACAAGATGGAGAAGTAGAGAACATACCATGCCCATTTGGGGGAATGCCTTTTCCCTCTCCATCTCTGTCTTCCTGTATTTCTCTGGTGAGCACACTCACCCTCTGGCTTTTTAAATAATTTTTAAAAAATTTTCTTTTTAGATTTTTGCCACAAGGTACATGCATTCACCAGAGAGAGTTGAAAAGTAAGAAATCAGGAACCAGCAGTTAGCGTAATGGCCATGTCGCTGGACTCCCACATAGTCGACCGTGGTTCGCCGGACCCGGCGGCTTAAACTCACGCCGGGCTCATGTGCATGCGTGCCCAAGATCCCAAGAGGAGAATGGAGGAGAAGGGATTGTGGCGTGGCCATCCCCCCTGGGGGGTGATTTCTCGTTTTCTGTCTCTCTGTGTGTCTCTGGGGAGCGCGCACACCCTATAGCAAAATCCTCTCAAAAAAAAAAAAAAAAAGAGAAATCACAGTAAGAAAATCCACGCTGCATACATACATGAGCACCTAGTGCATTTTCAAGCCAAGTGCATTTTCGAGCATTTTCAAGTACCGTGTGGTACTTGAACCACACGGTCAGTCTTGTGAAGTGTAGCCACCTTAACTTAACCACCATACTACCTGCTTGCTCCAAAATAAATCAAAATTTTAAAACATCGTTTGATTTCTCTAATGGACCTAGTGTGGCCCAGTTAAGTAACCGGTTTTTCATTGTATTCTCATATAAACCCCTTTCTCCCTTCCCTACCCTAACCAGGAGCCTACACTTTTCAGTTAAAACCTTTTTGGGACCAGTAGATGGTCTAATGGTTACAACTACTGGACTCCCATGTAGTCAACCGCAGTTTGAGTCTAGGACCCAGCAGTTTAGAACTCACACAGAGCGCATGTGTGTGCGGCATGGCCATCCCCACTTGGGGCTGATTTCTCACTTTCTGTCTCTCTTGCAAGTGCACATGCCCTATAGCAAAAATCTCTCTCTTAAAAAACTTTCCAGGGCCAGCATGTGACATGGCCATTAAGGTGCTGGACTCCCATGTGGCCAACCATGGTTCAAGTCCCAGATATGGTGACTTGCTTTTGCTCTGTCTCCCCTCCATCCCCTATCTCGCTCTGGTCAAATGAATGAATAAATTTCAATCAATTTCTTAAAGAATTATTTAATTTTTAATATTTATTTATTTAATTAACTTCATTTTGTTATTGTTATTTTTCAGTTTGACCAGGGAGAGAAAGAAAAAGGGAAAGTGAGAGATCAAGCCACCAGGTCCGGGACTCAAACCATGATCTGTCATGTGGCAATCTTTTAACCACTATACCACCTGCTGGCCCCTGTTTATTTAATTTTATCAGTATTGTTATTTTATAATTTGCTACAGGGCACATGCACTCATCAGAGACGGGGTGGGGTGAGAAAGAGAAGGTGAGAAAGCAAGCCACCACGTACAGGACTCGAACCACAATCAACCATAAGGGCGTCCACCCCTCAACCACCACACCACTTGCTGGCCCCACATTTTTTTTTTTTTTTAAACCTTTCCTGGGCCATCAGGTGGCATAGTGATTACAGCACTGGACTCCCACATGGTTGACCATGGCTTGGGTCCCAGACCTGGCAGCTTAAAACTCAGGCTAGGCACATGTGTGTATGTGCCCCAAATCCTGAGAGCAGAATGGAGAGGGCATTGAGGCATGGCCATCTCCCCTGGGGAGTGACTTCTCGCTTTCTGTCTCTGGCAAGTACATGTGCCCTCTAGCAAAAATATATTCAAAAATAGAAGAAAAAGCCCTTCCTCTTCTAGTGTCTGGAGAGAAAATACAGAATTCTTTTTTTTTTTCCCTACTAAGAACCCTAACATTAAGAGGTTCCCATTAGCTGACTTTTGACCTATTTATTAGAAATAAAAATGATGGGACCAGCAGGTGATATGGTGGTTAAGGAGCTGGACTCCCACATGGGTGACTGCAGTTCGAGTCCTGAACCCCTGGCATCTTGAAAATCATGCTGGGCTTATGTATGTGCATGCCCAAAATTCCCAGAGAAGATGGAGGAGAAAGGATTGTGGTGTGGCTATCCTCCATGGGGAGTGATAAATCACTCGTGTTTTTGTCCCTCCCTGGCAAGCACATGTGCCCTATGGAAAAAACCTTAAAAAGAAAGAGAGAAATGGAAATGCCTGGACCATCATAGCATAGAAATTAAGACAGCTGTATTCTACATGGCCGACTGAGTGTTTCATTTCCCAAAACAGGGAAAACACTCCAGGCACGTTCCCAGAGTCCAAAGGAGTGGAGAAGGGATTGCTATGTGACCAACCCCCCTAGGGGTGATATCTGTCTATCTCTGTCTCTCTGTTGCTCTCTCTCTCTCTCTTTCTCTCCCTCTTCCCTCTTTCTCCCCTTCTCTTCCTCCTCCCCGCAGCCCTGTAGCAAACTTTAAGAAAAAAGAAAGACTTGGGAACCAGCAGTTAGCGTAATGGCTATGTCGCTGGACTCCCACATAGTCGACCGCGGTTCGCGTCCCGGACCCTGTGGCTTAAAACTCAACGCCAGGCGTGTGTGCATGCGTGCCCAAAATCCCGAGAGGAGAATGGAGAAGAAGGGATTGCGGCGTGACCATCCCCTCTGGGGGGTGATTTCTCGCTTTCTGTCTCTGTCTCTCTCTGGTGAGCGCACGGGCCCTATAGCGAAAACCTCTCCCAAAAAAAAAAAGACTCAATTAACTCAGAAATCTGTCTTGCCTGTAGCAACTTTTTCACCTTATTTAAATAAATAAGTGTTACTTAGTTTTGTTTGTAAGGGTTCCATTTTAAATTAGTGTTTCTCAGTTCTTGCCCTTTTCACCAGTAGGCATACAGAATGCTTACAGTGATTAGAAAACTTGATAGAATGTTTCCTGATAAGAAATATATGACCAGCATTTGATCCTCTTGCTGTTACAGGATATTGCTGCAGAAAAACCAGTGCCCAAACCACCTCCAGCAAAGCCTTCTAGACCCCGACCGAAGAGCCGAATTTCTCGGTACCGGGCCAGTTCAGCCCAAAGATTAAAGCGTCAGAAGCAGGCCAGTGCACAGCAGGCAGAGTTGTCCCAGGCGGCCTTGGAAGAGGGAGGAAATAACAGTTCAGTAACTCCTACTGAAGCTGGGAGTATAGAAAGTTCTGGAGAAAACAGACAATTAACAGGGTCTGACCCAAGTGTGGTATCAATTACTGGATCCCATGTTAACCGTGCTGCATCTAAATACCCCAAAACCAAAAAGGTAAGTCATGAATACATCTTCGAAAGTCTGGTTTAACAAGGGCTGTCTTAATAAAACAGGAGGACCTATGAACTCTAAAAATGTCCAATATCAGTATTAGATCAAAAGTTCTAGATTAAATGTTTTGATGCAGAAAACTAAAGTCATCCTCCTACTTCTTGGTCCCTTATTTTTTTAGGCATAGCAGAAATCACTAATAGCTGAAATCACTCCTCTCTTGGTGAACATGAAGAGAGTGAAGGAAGATATCCTTGTGTTCTGAATGCCCAATTCATACTCGCTGCAGCTGCTGCTGCTTCCTCTGTCCCAGTTTCTACATGAGATTTTTCTTTGTGAACTGCACTGCTGCCTCTGTCTTTTACATCTGCAGCGTCAACTAACGGCGTCTTTTTTTACCATAGTATCTAGTTACAGAATGGTTGAACGACAAAGCAGAGAAACAAGAGTGCCCTGTTGAGTGTCCTTTACGCATCACCACCGACCCAACTGTACTGGCAACAACCCTGAACATGCTGCCGGGTCTTATCCATTCCCCGTTAATTTGCACCACCCCTAAACACTACATTCGCTTTGGCTCACCATTTATCCCTGAGAGACGGCGAAGGCCCCTTCTGCCTGACGGCACATTCAGCTCCTGTAAGAAGGTATGCCTGTGTTTTATGTGTTTCGAGCTTTGTTTTTGTTTTGTTTTACCTAAGAAACCTGTCAATAATGACATGTAACACGTTCTGTAGACAGCCGCTCTGTCCACATGAGTTCATAATGAGGTAGTTGTTCAGCCATGAGTACCGATGCATCAGGAGTCAGTGGGACTAAGATAAATGCGTAGTGTATTTTTGGTGCTCAAATTTGTAAGTACTCATTGTTGTCTCTTTTGAGAGGCCTTGAGGTTACTGAGTTACATGGTAGTTGATGGCTGGGTAGGGAGGGGTATGTTTTGTGTGTGCTCTTGTGATATTGGTTCACATGTCCATTTGTATAAGATGGGCCCCAGGTACTCAAGACACTTATATAAGTAAAAAAAAAGAAAAATCAAATTGGGTTTAAGTTAATCAGTATTATCACTTGAAACAGATTAGAGGAAAAATCCTATTGTGATTGGCATAATTGATTGAATAAGAAGTTGGACTGTTTATTCCCTAGAAAATATGGAACCTACTTTAAAAGACTTTCTCCCTCTTTTTCTACCTCTTTCTCCTCTCTCTAGCTACTGTTTTGGATCTAGTGGCAGTTTGGTGGTTAGTTGTTTTTCTAATGCTCTTTCTTAATTCCCAGAAGCCCTGCATATTTTCCAAATGTGTCTCTCAGGGATAGATCACTCCCTCAGACTTATAATGTCGTTGCGGTGTTTCTAGAAGTATAGGACACCCTTTCATTTGGTCTTCCTTTGAGGTAGAGTCTGTTCCCTGGAACACCCTTTTCTCTTATCCTCAGATCTGGATTCAGGCTGCCTTCCTCAGTGTCTGCCATTGCCCTCCTCCACTGGCATCATGTACATGAGGATGCTGCATGTAGATTATTTGGTGTGATGAAGTCTCCAGCTCCAGGCAGGTCTTCCTTGACTCCTCCAATCTTAAAGCTTTTCTCTTTCCCCAAAGAACAGAAATTATTTCTTGGAGGGAGGGGGGGCATGAAAGGTGAGCCAGAGTTGTATGGGACCTGGAGGGGAGGAGGGCAACAGAAATCCGTGCAAGGAGAGCATGATTGCCAAGTCAGCTGCACGCACTACAGAAAGTCCTTTCCTGGTTGCACAGCTTACCTGTGTGTGGGAGTCACTCATTGGCTTGCTCGGGAAAACTCCCAAGTAGAAGGAAATCCTCAAGAGAAATCTAAGATCCAAGCCAAAAGTGTTTGTAGATAAGGTGTTAATATGATTAACTTTCAAGTGTCAGAAATAAAAACGAGGACAACTCCCTTTTTAGAAAGTAACACTTTTATGGGAAGCTTGTACAAGTAAATGAAGGTGGGTTGGGTCTCTGGGGAATACTTTGTTATACCAAGCCACTTAGAAAGACTAGTTAATCTTGGATCTAAGAAGTTATTGTGACCAGCAGATGGCGTAGTGGCCATGTAACTGGACTCCCATGTAGTCAACTGCTGTTCAGGTCCTGGACCTGGTGCTTAAACTCTTGCCAGGTGCATGTGCATACGTGCCCAAGATCCCGAGAGGAGAAGGGATTGTGGTGTGTCCATCCCCCATGGGGCGTGATTTCTTACTTTCTCTCCGTTTCTCTCTTTCTGGTGAACGCATGCACCCTATAGCAAAACCCTCTCCAAAAAAAAAAAAAATTATCTGAGAAGGAAGCCGGCAGGTGGCATGGTGGTTAAGGGTGCTGGACTCCCACGTGGCCAACTCCAGTTTTATTCCCAGACTGGGCAGCTTGCCTTCTTTCTCTTTCTCTCTCTCTCTCTCTCTCTCTCTCTCTCTCTCTGGCTCTCTCTCTCTCTCCCCTCCTCCCCATCTCTGGTCAAATTAAAATAAATAAACAAATAATTTAATTTAATAATTCTTTTAAAAGGGGAGGGGCAGGTGGCATGGTGGTGAAGGGCACTGGACTCCCACATGGCCAACCGCAGTTCGTGTTGCAGACCTACCTGGTAGCTTGCTTTCTTACTTTCCTTCTCTCTGTCTCTCTCTCTCTCTCTGGCAACAATTTTAAAAATAAATAAATAAAGTTAAATAAAATAATTCTTAAAAAAAGAAGAAATTATCTGAGAAGGAAAATGTTTGCCATGTAGTAACCATCATGATTAACCTCCTGTGATAATTGGAGAACTGTACAAACTGGAATGGCATGCAAAACTGAGCCCTGATCTTTCTGCTACACACTTTGTAAAGAGTTAACGGCTCAAAATCTTAACTACAGTTTGGAGCAGAGTTGAAAATTAGAGAGGGTACAGATAGGATCTTTAGTCTACAAAAAGAGTTAAATTGCAAGATGGGTTAATATATAGGGGGGGAAAAAACTTTTGTTCTGTGTTTGGCTGGCTATGGTACAAGATTTTTAAGGATCTTCATTATTAAAGCATCTTGTCAAAGCAGATAGTAGAATCTCCTATCTTGGTCCTTTTTAAAAGGATAGACAACTGGGACCAGCAGTTAGTGTAATGGCTATGTTGCTGGACTCTCATGTAATTGACCGCGGGTCGCATTCTGGACCTGGTGGCTTAAAACTCACTCCAGGTGCGTGTGTGTGCGTGCATGCCCAAGATCCCGAGAGGAGAATGGAGGAGAAGGGATTGCGGCGTGGCCATTACCCCAGGGGGTGATTGCTCGCTTTCTGTCTGGCAAGCACACAAGCCCTATAGCAAAACCTCTCCCCCCAAAAAAAGATGGACAACTAATGTTATATCCATTGTAAATAATATAGACTACCTTGTGAATGCCCCATGCTAGATTACAATCTTTCCATTACTGTCTTGCTTTTCTAAGTAGAAGAAACCTGTGAAAAGTAAAATCATGTGTTTAGTACCGTGACTTCAGATCTGGTAGAAAATCCTTTTCTTTGTGTTCCTTTTTACCTGGCTATGATTTAGGACTTATATCTGTGACTCATCTTTAAATCTCCATTGAATACAGATAGAAATCTCATTTAACAGAAGTCCATGTTGTAGTCTCCAACTGTATCTGGCCATCCTTAGTCTTGTTTTCATCTATATGTATCCTAATTATAGCAAGACTTCTATTTAAATTGAGCCATTTTTTTGTTGAGAGAGATTTTTGCTGTACGGAGCGTGTGCTCGCCAGAAAGACAGAGAGAGACAGACAGAAAGTGAGAAATCAAATCACTCTCCAGGGAGGATGGGAATGCACACTCACACACCTGGCCTGAGTTTGAAGTCAGAGTCCAGGACTTGAACCATGGTCCACCATGTTGGAGTCCAGCACATTAACCACCACACCACCTGCTGGGCCTAAATTGAGTCCTTTAAAAATTGTTTTAACATGGCACTAAATTCAGTTTAAATTACTACTTTCATATTTTCTGTAAACATAAAAAGATTATATTACAAAACAGAAAAGAATACAGCTTTTTATTGGGCGAAATTAATGAAATTGAATCTTTTAGGTAGAAATTGAACTCTGCTTTAAGTGGGGAATGAAGAAGGCCTGTATATAGGTTGGTTAGAAAGGGCTCATGTAGCGCAGAACCTGAGAACATTTCCATAATTGAACAAAATAGCAATAAAATTCTAAAAATCCCTGAATGTAAGTTAAACAGATAGATGAGAAAAACCACCCTCCATAGATTAGTTAAAAATTGTGTATTCCTAATAGGCCCACTGTTTCATATCTGACTGAAGGAGATAAAAGGTCTTAAAAGTTAGAAACAGTATAAGACAAAATTGTGCCTGTATTTTTGTTGCCAGAGTCTGTTTTTGTTTTTGTTTTTTTAAGAATAATTTATTTGGGGAGTGGTTAGATGGCACAGTGATTAGAGTGCTGGACTTCCATATGACCAACCACAGTTCAAGTCCCAGACCTGGCGATTTGCTTACATTTTTTTTTTTTTAGAATTACTTGATTTTATTTATTCATTCATTTTAATTTGACCAAAGGAAGACACGGAGAGGGAGAGAGGGAAAGTGAGAAAGCAAGCCCCTAGATGCGAGACTTAAACTGTGGTTGTCCATTGTGGGAGTTTCCAGCGTCTTAAGCATTACGCCACCTGCTGGTCTAATGGCTTGCTTTCTCACTTTCTCTGTTTCTTTCTGGTCAAATTAAATAATAATAATAAAAAAATAAATAATTCTTTAAAGATAATTGTTTATTTTTTAATTCTTTTTCTTTCTTCCTTTCTTTCTTTTTTTCCTTTCTTTTGACCAGAGAGAGAGAGAGCGAAAGCAAGCCAACAGGTCCAGGATTCAAACCGTGGTTGGTCTTGTGGGAGTGTGCAACGCCTTAACCGCCACACCACCTGCAGGTCTCAGCCTTTTTTTCTGTTTTTTTGTTTTGTTTTGTTTTGTTTTGCTTTTTTAAGAGATTTTTAGGACACGTGCACTTGCCAGGGACAGAAAGCAGAAAAATTACCCCCCATGGGATGGTCACGCCCTAATCCTGTCTCCATTCTCATCTAATCTCGGGATCTTAGGCATGTGCACACACTTACCTAGCATGAGTTTTAAGCCACTGGGTCTGGTAATCGAACCACAGTTGACTATGTAGAAGTCCAGGAACGTAACAATATGCCATCTGCTTTTCCCCTCAATTGTCAGAGGGCATGTGTGCACATCAGAGAGAATGAGAGAGGGAGTCAACGGAGAAAATGCCAGTGGGACTTGGTGACACCACAATCCTTTCCAATCTGTTTCTCTATCCTTTTGGGATTTTGGACTGACATGCACATATGCCCCATATGTTTCTCACACTGCCTGGGACTGGAACTTGAACCACAGTTGGCCATTTGCTATCTTGCTTCCTTAACCAATAGGTTATGAGGCCAACCCAAGTCATAGACCTTTAAATACATTTTTTTGTCTATCTCTTTTTAGACCTTCAATTGTAATTTTAGAATTGTAATGTAGAAACATTTATGAGTGGCCTTTCAATAGTGTCCTACCTTGTTTTTTCTAAACTCACCTTGTTTTTTGAAAGAGATTTTGGCTATAGGGCTCATGCCCTCGCCAGAGTGACAGAGAGGCAGAAAGTGAGAAATAACCTCCCCAGAGGGGATGGCCACACTGCAACCCCTTCTGCATTCTCCTCTCAGGATTTTGGGCACACGCCTGGTGTGAGTCTGTTTTTTTGTTTGTTTATTTTTTCCCTATAGGATTTGCTATAGGGCAAGCCTACTCACCAAAGAGACAAGGGACAGGCAGCACAAGAAATCACCCCCAGGCGGGGAATGGCCATGCATTCCTTTTGTCTTGATTCTCCTATTGGGCTCTTAGGCACATACACAATCACACCCAGCATGAGTTTAAAGCTGCTGGGCCCAGGACTTGAACTACAGTCAACTACATGGGAGTCCAGCGATGTAACCATGATGCCATCTGCTGGTCCCTCAACTCATATTCTTGATGTAATATGTATAGGACACTTGGTCCCCCAAGATTTCTTAGAAAAGCAGCCTGACAACAGAACAGTGCTTTGCCATTGGTATTTCATTATATAAACTGGAGTGTTATAAATCTGTGTATCTCCTAACATAGCATTGAAATTTAGGTCAATAAGGACTCATTGAAAATCTCCTATATGTCCAGTACTGTGCTACAAGTTTTCTTCATATGTGTTAACCTCACTTAGCCTTGTGAAATGGAATTATTGCTTTCAATTTACAGATCCAGAAACCTTGATAGACAGAAGTAACTTGCCCAAAGGAAGGCAGGTACTAGGTGTTATGGCCAAATTTCAACGCAAGTCTTCTAAGCACCAAAACTTAGATTGTTTGTTTTTTTTTTTCTCCATAAAAATGAGACCTTTTAAGACTTTCTTGGGACCAGTAGTTGGCGTAATAGCTGTGTCATTGGACTCCCACGTGGTCAACTGCAGTTCAAGTCCCGGACCTGGAGGCTTAAACTCACACCAGGCACGTGTGCGTGCATGTCCAAGATCCTGAGAGGAGAATGGAGGAGAAGGGGTTGGGTGTGGCCATCCCCCCTAGGGGGTGATTTTTTGCTTTCTGTCTCTCTGTCTTTCTGGCGAGTGCATGCACCCTATAGCAAAAACCTCTCAAAAAAAAAAAAAAAAACATACACACACCCCTGTTTTAGCTTCCTAAAAAAATTTTCTGGAATTCATTTTAGAAAATTTCCCTTCACAGAGAAGGGTGAAATATTCTTGACTTAAATAATTGTAGCTAGAACCCTGGCAAGTATTGGGAGGAAATTCAAAATTAATTTATTTATATGTGTGATTGGAACGGGGTACCTACAGATTTTCATGTTACTTTTTTATGTTAGTTCTGTAAAAATCTATGCAGGGCAGGAGGAATGTGTTTGATCATGTTTGCTGTGTGTAACTTTATAGCCATGTTAATATCTTATTCCTAGAATGCACCTATTCTGGTTTTATGTTCGTTTTTGTCGTCATCAGGTCCAGAACATAAATTATTTTCTGGATACATCTATTTAACACTGGAAATATATTTCTTTCTTTTTTTTCTTTTTTTCTTTTTTTGAGAGGTATTTGTTATAGGGTGCATACGCTTGCCAGAAAGATAGAGACGGAGAGACAGAAAATAAGAAATCACCCCCTGGGAGGATGGCCATGCCACAATCCCTTCTCCTCCATTCTCCTCTCAGGATCTTGGGCACTCACACACATGAGCCCGGCATGAGTTTAAGCCACCGGGTCCAGGACTAGAACCATAATGAACTACATAGGAGTCCAATGACATAGCCATTACACCAACTGCTGTTCACTGGAAATGTATTTCTTGCAGAGGAAAACTCAGTGACCCCTAGTGAGTTCAGTCATCCACTTGGGGAGGGGGGACTGTCTAAAGGTATCTATACCAAAGGATTTTTTCACTGATTTTTCCCTCGTGAGCTCAATTTTCTCGGTCTATAAAATGAGTGTTTTAGACAAGATGATTTCTAAGCTCTAAAGATTTGTGGTTCTGATAGATTTCATCTTTATATCAATGTTCAGTTTGTAAGAGAGCTCATTCTCAGTCTTATTTTGGTTTTTCAGAGACCTGGTCACATTCTAAAGTGTTGATGTGATTCGAATGACTATTGAGATTTCTTTCCTATATACTCATTCACTCTTTTCTCACATTTTAATATGATTTTTCTCTTTCAATTGGCAGACCACAATAACATTTACATGACATATGATTTTTCTTGGTAAAATTCTCCTGGATTATTTTCTGTGTCCACATGGGGAAATCTATTAGAATTCCTTTTCTGGTAAAGAGAATATTTACTTACCGGTAGTACGTGTTCTCTAAAGGTGTAAAAGTATAATCATTCACCTTTGCTCTTCCTATTTGGAGTAGGATCTGACTCAGAAATTGACGTTTATCAAAATTCAGTCTGTCTTATGTCAGGGCAGGAAAGCCACAGAGTTGTGAGCACCTTACAATTCTGTATCTTAAGAGAGCACAATTACAGGTAAGAAGTTTTCTCTCTTCCACAGGATGCATATGCTTATCCTAATTTTTGTAGGTTTACTATCTGGCCTAAATTTATTTATTTTCCATTTGGATTTAGATTCCAGGTTTCACTACCAAAAATTGTGATAAGAGAGGTTTCCTTTTTTCATTTTTACTTTTCCTCTTTCTTGATTTCTGCAGAAGGTCATTTTTTCTAGTGATTTGCATTAGTCATGGATAATTAAACCAAATTACTTGTTAGGTGGGGAAAAACTACATGCTATGCCACTTGAGAATAACCCTTCTAGAAGTTGTTATGTTACCTATAGTGAAGAGCTATTTATTCTTATCCAGTCTTCCAGTGAGTCTTTGCTGTTATCTCTGCAGGTATCTTCAGCATGGGGCAGACAACTCTTAGAGGAGATCTTTATCTTCCTTCTGGACACTTTGTGGGTTTTTGTCCTAGTTTTATTCTATATGATCAGAGTCTCTTAAATAAATCTTAAATTTTCTTCCTTATTTCATCCCATTTACCCCATCTTAAGTAGTATGAAAAGTTGAATAATAATTTTTTTGATGGGATCTGTTGGGTGATCCATATTTTTTCAGTTTTGTCTAGTATAACTAATTGATGGGGGCAGTGATATGCAGAAAATCAATAAAATACTTGACTGTGAAGTTGAATGAATGTATTGGATTGCATCTCTCACCAGTTGATTTGTAATGACCTGGTTAATGCATTTAAAATAGGTTCCCTAATACTTTTAAATGGTTATTGACAATTCTCTGATTTCTTTTCTCATTATAGCGCTGGATAAAGCAAGCCTTGGAAGAAGGGATGACTCAAACATCATCTGTACCCCAAGAGACTAGAACTCAGCACCTATACCAAAGTAATGAGAATAGTAACTCTTCTAGTATCTGCAAAGACAATGCAGGTACGTATCTAAAACCTTTCTGAATATATGAGCAGTGATTGTCCCAAGTCCATAGAAAAAATGTCAGTAAAAGTACTTCTGATACGAAAAAAGAAATAGCATGTTCTCTAAATAGTTACTTTACACCTGTCTTTACAGAGAAAGAGAAAGATCTCAAGTTCAGAGATCAGTTTTCCAGGACGACAAAGAAGGAACTAGACAGTGTACGCATAACAGCAGAAATGGTTATTGAAAAAGTTAGATATGTTTAAAGTAGTAAGTTCAGGAAATCTGTATCCATATTTATGGGAGGGAGTCTAAAGGTTCATGCAACACTGATATTCAGGAAAGAATCAAAATTCTAAGTGATCAAGTTGGGCAAGTCATGGTTGAGGGGACAGGGGATAAATAAAACAAACGAGAAAGTATCAGTTGACTGTTTACAAAAGGATTTGTATAATTGGTGTAAAAGCTTTTAGAAGACGTGCCTTTAAATCCAGTCTAAAAAACCTCTTGAGTCTTAAATTAGATGGCCATGAAAAATCAGGTGAGCCATTGATTTTCACCGCAACTCTTTGAGGGTTCTAATTGAAAGCACTGGTGCATTAATTTGTGATACTATCTTAACTTACTTTGGGATAGTTTTTCTACCAAACTTTCTTGCCACTCTCACTTAATTGAAAAGTTTTCTGTGGTTTTCATAAATTTATCTCTAAATTGGCTTTCTGAATATTGCACAGTCAAAATGCCAAAATAAATTAGATGCTATAGCTAACATAATATTTCAGATTTTTATTAAAACCACTCCATTGTTCCGATTTATCAACTTGCTGAGTAAATATTATGAACTTCAATTTAATTAAATAAATTTTTACTGGTGTTATCTGCTTTATATTAAAGTTCTGAATTCATCTATATTTGGGAGGAGAATGAAGTGTACTATCATATTTGAATTATGGATTTAGCTCATTCCTCCATCTTTAGATTGTATTATATTTTGTAAGTTAGTAAATATATAACTGCAGGGTAATAAAATCTAAGTGGGGAGCAGAAAAGAGATGATACTATTTATTTTTATTTATTTATTTTTCCCAAAGAGAGATTTTTGGTATAGGGTGCGTGCACTCACCAGACAGACCCAGAAAGTGAGAGCTCACCCCGCAGGGGATTGGCCACACGCCACAGTCCCTTCTCCATTCTCTTGGGATTTTGTGCACATGCGCACGCACACACACCCAGCATGAGTTTTAAGTTGCCGGGTCCAGGTCCTGGCCTAGGACTTGAATCACAATTGACTATGTGGAGTCCAGCAACATTACCGCTACACCATCTGCTCATCCCTTAAATACTCTATTTTTCCTGGCCAGCAGGTGTTATGGTGGCTAAGGCACTGGGCTCCCACATGGTCCAGGACCCGGTGGCTTGACAATCATGCCAGGCACATGTGCATGCATGCCCATCCAAAATCCTCAGAGAGGGGATTTCAGCAAGGACATCCCCTTGGGGCCAGGGGTGGGGATGATGTCTCACTTGCCCTCTCAATATCTACCTCTCTCTCTCCAGTTAGCATACATGCCCTATGGCAAAAACCTTAAAAAATATATATATATAAAATGTTAGGGAGATTAGTTAAACAAGATTAATATAAGGAAATCTTAGTGTTGGGGCCAGCAGGTAGCATGGTGGTTACAGTGCTGGATCCCACATGATTTGAGTCCTAGACCCAATGGCTTGAAAAATTATACTGGGTATGTGTATGCATGCTCAAAATTGCAAGAGGAGTAGGGATTGAAGTGTGACTATCCCTACCAGGGGGTGATCTCTCACTTTCCTTCTTTCTCTGTCTCTCATATGTCCTGTGGCAAAAATTTTAAAGAAAAAGAAGTCCTGGTACCAGAGTAATAATAGCAATTTTCTGCCAACTTTTTAAAGGGAAATTAGACTATTACTTAACTAAAATATGTTAAAAAGTTGACTAAAATAGACTAGCATATGTTTGTTATATGTGTATGTAGTTAAGGTTGGCAAAGTGAGATTATTTAGCAGTTCAGGTCCTGGAGAGCAAGACTGACAGGGCACTGCCTTTGTTACTGCACACCCTGTTTGGAATGGAATTAGTACTGTTAGTCACCAACCTTTATTGAGCTTCTGTTCCAGTTGCTAGCAGTGAGAAACGTTCACAGGACACACCTTTCCTTTAAGGAACACATAAACAGAAGAAAAATATTTATTAAAAATCAAGTAGGAATGAAGTGAGTGGCTCATGTTGCTAAAGGTTTTTAGTGTAATCCTGAGGATTTTTTTGTTTCATTTTTTCAAGATAGCAAAAAAATGTTAATCCAAAAAAGAGAAATAGGTTGATAGAGCAGAAAGAATCAAAAAGGACTTTATTTGAAGACCAACATTCCACCTTATTAACTATATGATGCTATTAAATGTCTCTGAGCTTCATCTGTTAAATGAGAATAATAGTATCTGCTTTCTGGAGCTAATGCACAATTGAATAGTGTGTAAATTGTTCAGTACAGTGTCAGACTGATAATAGAAATTATTACTGTCACTAGCAGAATACACTTTCTTGTTGAGTATTTCTACTAGCTGTGTTAAAGATTCTAAATTCCTGGGATCAGCAGATGATGATGGTTATATTGCTAGACTCCCACATAGCTTACCACGGTTCGAGTCCTGGACCCAGCAGTTTAAAACACACTGGCACATGTATGTGTGTGTGGCTGAGATCCCGAAAGGAGAAAAGAAGAGAAGGGATTGCAGCATGGCCATCCTCCCTGGGAAGTGATTTCTCTCTTTCTGTCTGTCTGTCTCTCCAGTGAGCACACATGTCATATAGAAGAGAAAAAATAAAAAAACTCAAAAAAAGATCCTAAATTCCAGAAAGCTAAGTTATACAGAAATAAAAGGTATTATTAAAGCAAGGAAGGGGCATAGTATTCATATTTGTAAATGATGTCACTGTATTCCTAGAAGAGTATAAATAAGTAAGTAAAAAACTGAAAATTAATTAAGAGTTCAATAAAATTACTGGGTAGATGATAAGTATATAGTAATACCATTTATATTCTAAGTAAATGAGTAAAGAAGAGTTTTTCATTTCCAACCTTATTGAAACAAACAAACAAAAAAACCTGCCTATAGGAACAACCTAGTAGTAGGATGTATAGAGCAAACCATTAGGATAAATATATTCTAAATTAGAGAAAATAGAGTCAAATTGTATATTGATTAGTGGAAAGAATAAACATCTATGTGTGCACACAGATATGTGTAAAATACACACACACATAGGCATACTGCAGTTGGCCCTCCATATTTATGGGTTCTGCATCTACAGGTTCAACCAACCATTGATTCAACTTTTTTTCTTTTCTTTTTCTTTTTCTTTTTTTTTTTCTTTTTTTCTTTCCTTAATTGCCAGAGGGCACATGTTCTTCCCATTGAAGAGGGAAGAACTACAGTGTAAAAGAGCACACTCATCTACCTGTAAGTGCAGTCATTTTACATTCCTTTTTCCTCCATTTCTCCATCCTGTTAGGATTCTGGGCTTGCACATATATATGCCTGACCTGTTTTTCAAGCCACTGGACTTGGGACTCAAACTGCAGTCAGCCATGTGGGATCCAACTCCCTATGCACAGTACTTAACCATTGTGCTACAGGGCCAGCCTTGGGTTGAAAATAAAACGAAAAAAATTGGTGGTCACCACACTGAACATTACAAGCTTTTATCCTTGGCATTATTTCCTAAACAGTACAGTATAACAACTGTTGGCTCAAACCCAGGATCTTTTACATGTGAGTTTAGTTTCATTTCCGTTTCCACTGTGCTGCTTCCTAAAATTTTATTCTTGATTTATTTTATCAGATTAACTTGCCCTCTGAAAACCCAACATAATACCACTTTTGAACTATATTTGTGATCTTACTTAGCATCTTGAATCTGTAAGAATATTAAAAGAATAACCTATTATGACCAAGTAAGGTTTTCCCTGTAAATGTAAGGATGGTTTATTATTTGAAAATATGCTAGTATAATTAATTTATTAGGTCAGATAGGGGAGGGAAAGTAATAGCACAGTGACTTATAAATTGAATACTAAAGTAACTTAGTTATGGCTTAAGTTTTATTTTAATTGCCAGAGGAAGTACATGCTCACTAGAGAAAAGACAGGGTAGGAGAGTTCTCTACCCACCCCCCAAAGAGGCATGATCACGCCACAGTCCCTTCTCAGTTTCTGCATTCTGTCGATATGTTGGGCATGCATGCACACACACAGGCGTGGTTTTTTTTTTCTTAAAGCAATATTTCTTTTTAAAATATATTTATTTAATTTATTTATTATTGTTATTTTTAATTTGACCAGAGAGAGAGAGAGAGAAGTGAGAAAGCAAGCTGTCGATTCCGGGACTTGAGCCGCGGTCAGCCATGTGGGAGTCCAGCACCTCAATTACCATGCCACCTGCCAGCCCCACGGGCATGGTTTTCAAAGTGCTAGAACTGGTTTTTTTTTGTTTGTTTGTTCGGTTTTTGTTTTGTTTCTTATTGAGAGGTTTTTGCTATAGGGCGCGTGCGCTCGCCAGACAGAGAGAGACATAGAGACAGAAAGCGAGAAATCACCCCCCAGGGGGGATGGTCATGCCGCAATCCCTTCTCCTCCATTCTCCTCTCAGGATCTTGGGCACACACACACACGCCCGGCGTGAGTTTTAAGCTACTGGGTCCGGGACGCAAACAGCGGTCGACTACATGGGAGTCCAGTGACATAGCCATTACGCTAACTGCTGGTTCCCTGGAACAGGGACTCGAACCACAGTCAGCCATGTGAGATCCAGCTCCCTTACCCCTTAGGCTATGGGACTGACCTGTGGATTTTTTTTTTTAATTTATCTCAAAATAGTTGCCAGTGATCGTGAATCAGTGTGTGAATGAGTTAAAGTTTAAAATGGGTTAGTAAATAATCTCATTAACATATTCAAAAATTGTCTGCCAATATGATTACCTCCAA